GAACATCCACGATCCCATCCGGTGTCAAATTATAAATCTGACAGTAGATGTAAGTAAGTTTCGTTAGTTTCATAGCAATATCAATAAGCGACCTCTCTGACATCTTGAATTGAATAGTAAGTCTTCGAATGGACTTTAATTTGACTACAGTCTTTGATTGAATTTCATCAAACATGCCCATCAAAGCCAATTCTTCAATATTAAAATCGTGTTCGGCCATTGAATCAATTAGTTTATCGATAAGCGACAATTTCAATCCAAATGGAAAATATATATACAATTTTGTTAATTTTCTCAATCGACTCAAATGCATGAGCTCCTCTTCGGTGCTGGTGTTTGTTATAACGGATGAAATTCCATCGAGATTTGGTGCAATATTCGCAATATGTTCGTGAATTGATGTTGATATATTTTTCGAAATAACATGCAGCCGCTTTGTTTGTGGATTCAATTGAAGAAAATCAATGAGTTGGGTGTCGCTCAACCACGAAAAATCATCCAAAATAATAGTATTCTCTAATTTCGGATGATGTTGTATGAAATTGTCAATATAGGAGCCTTCCATTAGGCTTAACGTAAACAGTTGAGGATGAAATCCAAAATTTGAAATGCTTGAATGCGATAGTACAAGTGTTTTGAGCGCTTCGAACGGCGCAACTGTCTTAAAATCCAAATCAAGCCCATCGATCTTTAACTCAGTCAATTGCTTACAATTGGAAATTTCATTCAAAATTGCATTAACATCGTTGCCATTCTTACGCGGGGAGCTTCTCCAATCGATCGATTTTATTGACGGACCAAAAATAGACACGAATTTTTTTACACTTGTTGATATCAATGCGTTCGCATACTTTTTATCATCTCGAATAATCAACGCTTTCACCTTTGATCGAAGGCTTATTTTTGCATTCTGTTGAAATTGGATGCACACTTCAGCCGCGTGTAGATAATCTGGAGCATTCGTCAGTTTGCGTAATACGGCCTGAATACAGTCGTCGTTGAGCGCGTTCAAAATGTGCTTTGATGACTTTGGTTCCTGCGGAATTTTCAAATCAAACCGAAAATGATCGGGCAATTGATATTTTTTGACCAAATCAACGACTTCGGTTATGTTTTCAATGCGGAAATTCACCTCGTCCAAGTAACACAAATGAAGAAAATTCTTTAACACTTCGGCCGATGTAGTCGGTAGTTCCACTTCATCATTTTCACCGGGCACCTCTTCGTTGAACATTTTACGAAATACATCGCTCGCTTTTGATAAAACATCTTTATGTGCTGGAACACGGTCCTTTTGATTGCCACACACAAAATACACATCGGCTGTACGCTCGTCCATGTATAAATTTCGGAATGATTCAGATGGAAAATCATTTGGTTTCACTTTTATTACGATATCGTAAATAGTTTTATTTGCCATTTTTTATCGCTTTTTTCGAATTTTCTTTAGATAGTACCATAAAGCGATTTAAATTGATGAGAAAAAATCACTTGAATTTAATTTGCAACAATTCAATATTGAATAATATTTAATTTCAATGTTTCGAGTGCGAATGGAAAAATGAGACTGAATTTTAAGAGAGCCGAGCTGTGAGTATTTCTGCAATGTAATTAGAGAACAATGATTGTCACACACTCACACAGATGCTTAGTTATTATGTCTTTGACATTTGTAGTTTTCTTTGTGTGTATGTGCGACGTATGTTCTATGGTATAGAGTGTCTGAGACAGAGACTAATGACAGTACCTTTGTACATCTATTGTGAAAGTATAGTTCTGAACATGTAATCGCAATTTTTTAGACAGAACATTACCACAGAAACGCTTTACTCATCAATAGCTACTATTGGGTGTGAATTAGTACACCGTTCACAGTAAAACAAACGAACACTAACACATACACTAGCGATCAATATTGATATAGTTTAGGTACGATTTATGTTTTTCATGCAAATTACCATTTTTCACACTTGTTGCGGATTGATTTTTATATTTTAACGTCCATTTGTCTTTGTCATTTGTCAAGACACCAACTTTGTCAGACTCAATGGTGAAAAGTGGTAATTTGTGTGATAATCATTAATCGTTCCCAAAATTTTGATGAGCATAGATGAATATTTTGATTTGTAGTGTTGATTCCTTGTATTAAAAAATACAGTTTTCTTCTAACTATCTAAATCTGTATGTTATCTTGTATGCTCTGGGGCTCAATTGTGTGCTATGTTTAAGACCTTATATACCAGATGAGTATTTCTACAAGTGGCAGATGAGTATATTTCTTTTGAAGAGTTACGGATTTTTAACCGAGAATAACGAGAAATTCCACGTGCAATCAATTTCACCATCCTTTAACTGGAGTTTTTCATGATAAAAATACTTTCGATTTGCTAGGGTCCATCCCTTTCGATCGGTGGTCCATCCCTTTCGCCCGTGCCTAAATAACTTCCTTTCTTCTTTTGACTTAAATAAGTTTCAGCATAAAAACTTCGCAGATTTACCAAATTTTTTATTTTAATATTTTGATTTAATTAAAAAGTAAGAAAAAATCCTTTCTTTGTTGCAAAATTTTTGATGATTATTTTTTAATAATGATTATTTATAAATAATGTTCAACCACTTACGATTGCATTTCAACAAATCACAATCAATATTACATTTCCGACATCGTATTTTAACATTAACGCGATCTTTGGCCATGTTCAAAATGGCATGGTATTCATCCAAATTGATTCTGAAATGTTTGGCAGTAAGTGACAAGTATTTTAAAGTTGTTCCGTACTTTAAAATGTTTTCAATTCCAATTGGTGTAAAATTATTGCTATTTAAAACAAGCACGCGCTCAAGTTTCGGTAAACTCTTGACGGCATTAAGAAGCGAACGTTCTGAAATGTGATGAAGCAAGAGTGATTTAACACTCTTTAGTTTAGCTATGCCGTCTAATTCGAAGTGACCACTTAAAGGCATCAACGCAAGTGTTTTAATGTTCAGCTCACGAGCAATCAACGAATCAATAAATTTATCAATAAGACTAATCACCGAATTATTTGTGAAATGTATGTGTAATTTTGTCAAACGCAATCGAGTCAAATGCGTGAGTTCTTCTTCGGATGTTTTGTCTGTTATACTGAAGGACATTCCATAGAGATTTGGCACCAGACCCGGAATCAGTTTGAAAATCGATGTTGTTATGTGCGAAGATAGACTTAATCGTTTCAAATGTGGATTTAATTGAAGAAAATCCAGAAGCGGTGTTTCGGTTAAACATCCATTTATGCATCGAAAATATTCCAATTTCGGATAATGTCGTATAAAATCGTAAATATTTGAACCTTCCCTTATTCCCAACCGGATCAACTGTGGATGAAATCCAAAATTGTAAATGCTTGAATACGTTAGTTCAACAGATTCAAGGGCTTCAAATGGCGATATTGTATTAAAATCTAAATTGAGGTGATCAATCTTTAATCCAAGCAATGTTTTTCCACAAAAGTTTGCAATCACTTGTAAATTGGCATCGGTATTGATATACAAAGAACTCCAATCAATCGATCGTATCGAAGAACCAAAAGTCGACACGAAACTTTTTACATTGGTTGATGTTATGGTGTTTGAATGTTCTTCCGTGTCGCGAATGCGTAACTCTTTGAAATTTGATGGATATCCCGCTTTGGCGTTTTCTTGAAATCGTGTACACACTGAAGCCACGTTCAAATAGTCTCGAGCATTCGTCAGTTTTAGGAATATAGCTTGAGTGCAATCGTTGTTAAGTGCGTTCAGTATATGCTTTGGAGAAACACAACTGCAGAAAATCCTTCAGCGCTTCGAATGTTGTATTTGGTAATTTCACTTCCAAACCACTTTTACAGCTAAATTAGCGTAGAACATACTTCGAAATACATCACTTGCTCGCGCTAAAATATTCTTGTGTGCTGGTATACGGTCCATTCGATTGCCACAGATAAAAAACACATCGGCTGTAGTCTCGTCCAGGTACAAACTTCGGAATAATTCTAATGGAAAATCACTTTTTATCGCACCCAACTTAATGTCGTGGTCATTAACGACTTCAATCGCCATTTTATGCCGTTTTGGTGGATGTTCTTCATTCAATGACATTTTTTACTCACATTTTTTTTTCACAAAAATTCAACGAACACAATTTTGTTTGCAATACGTGCAAGTGCATAAATGAGACTGCATTTTCGTTATGATAAGCGTGCCTTTTGGTATGCATCCACACTCACACAGACGCTTTATTACTACATTTCCTTCTTTGTGTTGGTGAGGTGGTACGTCGTACCAAAGACAGAGACTAATGACTTTTTTCATGAATGTACTATAATCACATATTTTCAAGAAAAAACCGATTTGAATGCTTTTTTTAAACATTTTCGATGTAAATTTCCGACATCTCATGTTTAATAATGTGCGTGGTATGAAAATCAAACAATTTGCCAAAAAAATGTCATTTTTTCCCAAGAAAATTGGATAAGCGTTCAATTGAGATCAATTGGTATTGACAACCCTTTTATATTTTATTCGAATACACATACATGTACTGTTAGATATTGGTATATTCATGCTATACATCGGAATCGTATATTTGACAATTTCTACATCTGTATTTGTATGTTTGATTCACCAGCATATGTACTACACAGAATGCGGAACGAATGTCTTTGATCTGAACTTCAGATTGGACCAGCGTTTGTGTTATACAACGATCATCGGACAATACGCATTGTATGTAGCGGCTGCGTTTCGCTGAGAAGATATACAGAAATGAAGCGCCAATAGCAGACAGTGTGCGAGATAGAGAGAGCGCGCAATTTTTCATGAAACGTTTAATTGTGCATTGGATGTGTTGTTGCTTCGTATTAGTTCTACAGCTTAGAAAAGAGCTGTATGGCATATAGAGTGGCGTCGCTTTCTGTTTATATGTTTCGTTTCATTTGTACGCTACCAAAGTGACAAGTTGCCGGTGTTTGTGTATGTATCTCTTGCTGTCTTTCAATCATATCGGATGCAAATCTATTTTGTGCTGTTCAATTGTAATAAAATTGTGTTTATTGGTTGGGCTGTCAACTATTCATACATGAAAAGTATTTTCCCTGTTATTTCACCGAAAGTTCAGAAGAAAATCCGTGAAAAAAACGTGCGTGTCGATAAAATTTGCAATTTTTTTGTGTCGTTGTTTTTTGTTCGCCAATTCTACGACTTCGTCCATTGATTCGCAAATCTGAGTGTGTGACAGAACAGTCTATCAAAATAAAAACAAACGTCGATTACACACAGTGTTCGTTTTTGTGAAAATAAAGTACAGTGATGCACAAATGAAACGAAGCGATAATTGCAGCACTGTGGACTGTGACAAAAACTGTTTGTGATTGTGAACCGGTGAAACAAATCACTATCGATAGCAATCACGAATGCATCGATTTCATGTGAAGTGCGCCAAAAAATAAAAGTGACAGTAACAGAAAATTTTTGTGATTGATTTCATTTGCTATATTATGGCGACAGCATAACCTAGAAAAAATATAAAAATCAATCGAAGAGACATTGTGTTTTCGATAGAATTCCGGTAATTCAAATCGCAAAACAACACCAACACTCTCACGATGGCAAAAGCAAAGACTGATGACGTCATAAAAGACATCGAGGAGCAAGCGAAACACATCGCAAAAAAGATGAAATTGTTGCAAAACGATTGTTTGGATTCAATGAATCGGGTAAACAATTTGCATTATTTTTGTTATTTTCGTTTTTTTCTGAAACGATTTTTATCATTATGTCTCTAGAGATCGATTCCGATGAAGCACATCTTCTTTGTCATGGCTCACATGGAGAAATTATTGGTCGGAAAGGATGGTGAGCTCTTTCAAGAGAGCTTCATCGGCCACTTGAAAATTGTAGCGGTAAATTGAACACCTTTTCATATCATCATTCATATTTTGATTCGCTCTAAAAATCCATTCCGAGAAACAGATTTTGGCCGAGGAAGCGTTAAACGACAATTTCTACGAAAACTTCAAAAAAATCACCAGATTGTTATTTCAATTATTCCCGAAAATTGTCAATAACACTGAATTTTTATGCCGTGTATTTCGAGTTTGGTGCTCATCGGTTCAACACATTCCACATGAAATCATTCAAGAAATGACCAATGAAGATCAATTGTAAGTATAGCAGTTCGGTGTAAATAGTAGCAATTTGTGTGGAACACCTATCGTTTTTGGGTACTGATATCTCCTACTTCCAGGAAAACATTCGGACAGAGCATTGTTAGTGCCAACACGATTTCACTGCAACAAACATTTGTCGACACAATTTTTCACTATTTTGGACACACGCCGGAAACACCGTCACAATTCTTGCGGAAATTTTTTCAAGAAATGTCATCGCGTAAGATCGACATTGGATCGGTCACCAATGACTTTGCGGAAAAGCAATGGTTTCTGTATCAGCTCAATCGGCACTTGCGACCAAACGACCAGAAAATCCATTCGGAAATGGTTGAATGTTTTGCATTCGGTGATGAGGTCGTCAGATGTGATACGGTAACTGGGGTGGTTTTTTTCCATCGAATTAAATTTAAAAAAATCTTTTTTTCATTAACAGGTTGAGCGATTCGTACACTTCAATGTGAATTCCATTGAATTTTGGGTTCCGTATGGATTCGATGGCAGCGACAACATTAAGGTTCACATTCATGCCTCTAACATCAAAAAAGTTGTGATTCAAGAGTAAGTAAAATATGTGTTGAAGACATTACTGTCCATTCATTTAATTCTTGCGACTTGCATTAGTGATGATTTGCCTTTTGCCCGCGTAATGGCTATTGAATTGAATCGTGAAGCAAAATTTGAAGACGCCAAAGGAAGACAAGTTGCTCCGGACAAACTTTACCAAGCAAATGTCATCACAATGGAATTCATGGTCGGATTCAAGAAGAGCCAACTCAACGAACTGCTGCTCGGAATGGTGAGCAATTTTTTTGAACGGTGTCCGGTGTCTATCGATTGAAACATATAACATTTTTTTGCAGCTATGCATAACGGCCGACAGACTGATAGATTTTTTGGAGAAAAGAGCAAAGCTGTTTCCATTTTCTGATACCGAGATATACGACGATGATGATTCGATTGAATTCATTTCGCTAAACTCCGGAACGCCAGCCAGTCACAATCGATCCCAATCAAAATCATCGCAAATCTCTGAAAAACCCACGCAATCACAGGAAATCCCTATTAAACCATCAAAATCACAAGAAATCTCCAACAGACCATCACACGACATTTTCATTGATCCCAATGAGTCATTTGTTACACCATCGGAAATTGTGATGGAAAAAATGGTTAAATCTGAAAAAATAAGACCCAAACGAAAGTTCGATTCACCAGTCACAAAGGTTGATCTCACTGATGACAATGAACCTCCACCGAAGACAATGAAGTCGGCCGACGTACAAATTGAACCATCGACATTTTATCGATCGTCGATTGATGACACAAAAACACAGCTGAAACGTCCAAAACGTGGTGCAGCTAAAGTGGCATTGAAAAAGATTAAGACGGTCGATACATATAAGTTCAGTGATGATAGCAGAACACCACCGAAAAAAGCACAACCGAAAAAGAAAAAGCGTGCACCAACTAAACGCAAAGCAAAAGTTCCAATCGGTCCTGTCATTGAGATTCCGCCCCGAATTGGAAATTCGATCAATCCACGAAAATTGTATAATCCAAATCAGTATGATGATGACGCATCAAATGCAATCGATCTTGATGTCGATAAAAAGCAAAAGATTAGGTCGCATTGGAGCAATGAACCTGTAATACCGGAAAGTTTCCACAGCTCCATTTTGGAGGATACAAACCGGAAAAAGAGCCGAATTTTTCAAAATATTGACAAAATCAATCTGAAGGCACAAAATCGTCCGAATGCCAGTTTTTCGTATCGCCAATCGAAGATAGCACAAAAACAACAACCAGCTGACTCAACCATTGTTTCGATTGATGTAAGTTTTGCGACTTGATGATTTTCGTACAGAGATTTTAAATGGTTTGTTTCATTTTTGAAGGCAGCGAAAGGTTCACAGAATGACCACATGGACATAGAAGACGATGACATCGATGTCAATGGTAACTTCACCGCAAATGTCAACATTGATCGGAAAGGAACGGTCGGAAGGTGCACAAAAGATTGTAACGATCTTAATCGAGAATTTCTTCGAGGTGTAAGAGAGATTTCAAATATCAGCAACCAACTTGTCGTCTTATTAAGTCCAAAATGAACACGTTGCCATTAATATGGTTTATAAAGGCCATCGAAACCAATATGCTACTTTGTAAATATCGCTGGAATCGAAAGAGAAAAAGTCACATCAGAAATTGTTCAATTGTCACACAATCTAAGGTAATTTTTTTTACTTTCGATGAATTATTTTGGATTATTTATGTATTTTCGGTGTCATGTATGGCAGGGATTCTTCGCATTGGTGGTGCGTATTAAAGTCCAAATAATGAAAATTTAACGAACCAAGATTTTCCATTGAGACGAAAATCAAAGTTATTCAAAGTAACAAGCGTTACCACATTTTTTTTTTCAACAACGACCCGAAATTGCAATAAGTCATATTGTCAGTTGGACATCAAACAGCGACTTTTACAGCGCTGAAATATGTTTGACATAAATTTTGATTTATTCACACTATTCACAAGCTTCATTTATCAAAAACTTCTTCATTTACTTTTATTTCCAGAGCTTCTTGCAAACTGTTATGAATGATAACAACATTGAAGTCAGTCACAACAATACACAAAACCCTTGCTGTCATGGCCGGAAGATATTTGGATGAACTTCAAGCATTACACTGGCTTTGGATAAACTGGATAATTAATTGGACTCAAACAAACAGCCACTAACATGACACATATTTTTATGTCTTTTGGACTTTTGATTCGTTTTATTATCAGAAGAGAAAGAGATACATAATACTAAAATTGGTTAATCGATGACTGAAGCAAATTCAGCTAATCTTTTATTGTAATTTTCGATTGTGAACTTAAAAACTATTTGAAGACATTTTGCCAACAATGAGGCTATACATGGATTTCTTTTTGAATATACTGAATTCTTTCAAAATATCGTTACAAGAAAAATAAAATAATTGTATACAAAATAAAATATCAAGTTATATAAAACCAGAAGTTAGTTTAACCAATATTAAAAGTTAAATTTAATTGAAATTCCATTCAATCGTTCCATTTTGAACCAAAATGTGATTTTTTTTAAATAAAAGTTATATGAAAACCAAAGAAAATTGTTAAAAAAAATTGATTTTTTTGTGTCAAATAATTTCATTTGGAAATGGGTGATAGAAGATCGTCTCCTGTTTGAACGCTGAAAAATGAGCTGATGTTCACTCCATTGACCGTCCCACTGAAAATGAGAAAAAAAGGTGGAATTAGCAAAACATACAGAAAATGGACATAAAGGAAAGAGTATAAAGAGAGACAATGACAATGTTTTATAGTTGACTGCAGCATATGGAGAAGGTAACTCCATAAAAAATCAACGCCTACTTAAACAATTACAACTATACATTCTATGGAGTAAAGCATATATGGAGTTAAGCACATTAAACAGCAGTTAAATATTAAACATTGTCCGTTCAAAATATGGGCTAACATTGAAAATCATGCTTGGATAAACATTGAGTACAACTTAAAACAAACACACATACTTTTGATCGGACAAGACGGATTTACCTTCCCCATTGTTCGTTGAAAAGTAGAAGGTACCATTGCCACTTATATTGATCACAAGATTGGTTGGCTGGCCCGGTGCTGGATTGACGGTTTGATTTGTTTCTGTGTTGATTGCTAACTTTTGCACTGGATTTGCTAGTGCCTTTGGTTGATTGACTTGTATCATTGGTGTTGAGCTGACGGGTTGCTTTGGTGCCGACTTTGGTACTGTGTTTGTTATGACCTTTGGATGGTTGGCTTGTTTCGTCGGTGTTGAGTTCACGGATTGCTTTGTTTCTGTCGGTTTTTCTACTATGTCAGTTCCTGTCTTTGGTTTTTTAGCTGGTGGCATCAGTGCTTCTTTTTTGACATAGATGATCGGCCTGAAAATCGATTTTTGTTTTGAAAACCACCTGACGACATGAATATTATTGATATTCATAATGAGAACTTACTTGGCAAGACGCCGCAGCAAATTTTCAGCGATTCGAGCATTGGTATCGAAGTCGAATTCGAAGTCTGAAAATGAAACCAGTTCAGTAGTGAAATACGATAATGTATGTTTTGTCTCACCCCTATCGTCGAATTTTCCCTGAAGCTGACCGATATAATTCCAGACGGACAATGTTTCCTGGTCGTTATTGTAGTCTGGGTGCATTGGATCGTACAAAACTGGATGAATTGTGAGTAGTTCAATAAATGGTACCATCACATCAAAAACATGGTTTAGCGTGGTAGCTTCCGAACGATTTACCGTGTTGACATCATTTTTCACAGACTTATCCAGTTTTTGTTTGCTTCAGTGTAAAAATCAAGAGTATTATAAACATTTAAAACCGCAACAAAATTGGATGTTAAAAATATAGTTACCCAGCAATAACTTCAATGTATTTGCGGAATTTTCGCATCAAACCAGTCAATTCACATTCATCTTTACACTTGCGCTTAAAGACTAACAAAGAAATGTTTATTCAACGAAATCAGACAGAACTTTTTTTGTGTACAAAAAAACTCAATAGTACGTACATGATTGGTATGTGCTCCAATCGTTGAGAATGCCAATCCAAATATCGTTCTTTTTTGCCGATAAATCGTGTTCATCATCATCTTTTTCGTACAGCATTGGTTCGGAAGCACATAGCCTTAGCAAATGGACATAACTTCGTAAAAGTGGCAACACATTCTTATGGGTTGAATCCTTTTGACACAGACAATCATCGTTGTTTATTTGCGACATTTTTCAATCAATTTGATGAAGACTTTGATTTCAATCGGATTTCAATAAAATTATTTTTTGATGAAAATTGAACAAATTTACGACGAAGAACCAAAAAAACACGTTTCTTAAAGACAGCAGCAGAAAACTTAGTGTGCACAAATACAATATTTAATGTAGTGCCTGTGTATGTGTGAGCATTTCCGTACAGCAACTGTCAAATCAATATTATACGTCACATGATGGTGAAAATGTGAATGTTGTTTGTTTTTCGTGCGCAATTTAAAAATTCGATCAAAAACACTCACGACATTTCAAATGTATTTTTGTTTCAATTTTGACAGTGGAATCGGATGAGATAATTTTTAATTGATAGCATGGCTATAGCCAAAGATATTCTGGATTCTGTGATTGTTACTTTTTCATTTTACTTAAAATGTGCCGAAAGTGATGAAAACTGAAAAACAAAAAAGTAGTGTAAAATTGATGTCGCCGTTATTTCTCGTGCTAAATGCTTCGCAAACCATTCGTGCTAAATATACTTCGAAATGGCGATACCATTGAGGTAACTCACGGTATTTATTGGAATTTGATAAACATCTCCCAGAAATGCAAATTATAAAAAAATATCATCGACCAATAGGAACCTTTACTGGCCACACAATATTTCTATCGAATATGCATATTCAACGGTTGTTTCACGTACAAACGGGTTTATTTGTATCAGTTATCATTTAAACGTTATGGCGATTGGTTCCAGTGCATGTTTCAGAAATATTCTTTTTTAAAGAGGAGAACCGTTTCATACAAAAACCAATAATTGTGTAAAGGAGAATTAAATTTGGCGTGTGTTGAATTGAAATAAAACAATACCTTTCCTACACTAGGTGTGTGGAAAAGTAAAAGTACATAAAAATTATTCATCTTAAAAAAATCACATCAGTTTATTCTAAATGCATAACTCTAGTGAACAGACACTCAATGGTAAGAGATCGATGCAAAAAAATGTAGTTTTTAGTGACAAAAACCGGTTTCAAATCAATTCAAATCTTATCAAATTTATTCACTTCGATTCCGCTAAATAAAATCACATTGATTTAAAACAGAGATTAGTGTAGCCATTCACAGTCTATTTCGAACTTCGTACCATAATTACCATAATTTCATTTTTATTGTATTTTATAAGCAAAATAAAAGCAGATCGGATTTGTTTTTTTAGCTTGAATCTGTATCATTGGTATCATTTTGTAATAAAATTTAATTTATCCTTTCACACAATGATGCACATCGATTGATTGATGCAATATTTCAAATGAAAATGTCAAAAAAACCATATTCCAGACGAAAGTTGTCAAGGTAGTGCAACGAACTCTGTGTCAAACATCGAAAATGCTGAACCACAAAAGCTTGCGTATCCAAAACGTGTATTTTTAATCATTGGCAATGAATTTTGTGAGCGATTCAATTACCATGGAATGAAAGGTAAACAAAAGTGACAAAATAACAGGTCAACGAAGTATAAAAAAAACGTTTATTCTTTTCAGCAATTTTGGCATTTTATTTGCGATTCAAACTCGGTTTCACGGAAAATGATGCCACGGTATTGTATCATGCATTTGTGACGTTGGTGTATTTCACATGCATTATTGGCGCCGTCTTGTCTGACGTTTGGTTGGGAAAATTCAAAACCATTTTGTATTTATCAATTTTATACGTAATCGGAAGCACGATTGTTGCACTTGGAGCGATCCCAGCCATTGCAATTTCACCTATAGTCGCACTTTACATCGGATTGACTTTGATCACAATCGGCAGCGGTGGTATAAAACCGTGCGTTGGACCTTTTGGAGGAGATCAATTTAAATTACCGGAACAAACAGCGCAAATGGCCACATATTTCTCAATGTTTTATTTTGCATTTGATTCAGGTGCATTTATTTCAACATTGATAACACCCATTCTAAGATCAGACGTACATTGTTTCGGTGAAAATGATTGCTATTCGCTGGCATTTGGAGTACCCGTCTTACTTATGATTATATCCATCCGTATGTTTTCAATTTAATTGACAAAATAATGTTCTTGCTGAGTTGTTGCTTTGTATTTTTTTCAGTGCTCTTCATAATTGGTAAATCATCTTATACTTATGTTCAAACGTCATCCGAAAATATATTGATGAAAATGTTGAAATGCATATGGGTAAGATCCTGAATTCTAGTTGAAATTTCGAAATAATTCATCTTTATTTTAGAATGCAATGATCATCAAACGACGCCAGGGAAAAACTAAGCCACGCAAAAATCTGCTGGATTATTCGATTGAAAAGTATGGCGCACAACTGGTGAATGAAACGCGAGCTATTTTGAAAATTTTCACACTTTATTTACCTCTGCCTTTCTTCTGGGCGTTACTAATGCAAACTGGATCGCGTTGGACATTTCAAGCCAATCGAATGAATGGTGACCTTGGATTTTACACCATCAAAGCGGATCAAATACAAATGCTGGAAGCACTTTTGGTTCTGACATTTGTTCCATTGTGTGATATCTTCATATATCCAGGGTTAGGAAAAATCGGCATACGGCGACCATTGCAAAGGCTTACGTTTGCTGGATTTTTTGGTGTAATCTCATTCGTGCTATCTGCAAGTCTTCAATACTGGATTGAATCGATGCCGCTGAATTCCGTGAACATGTTGTGGCAAATTCCACAGTATATCATGTTATCTCTGGCGGAAGCCATGGCTGGTGTAACCGGTCTCTCGTTTTCATATGAACAGGCTCCGAAGAGCATGAAATCGATTGTATTTACCTTTTGGTATTTACAAATGGCATTTGGTAATATAATTGTCATGTTTATAGTCGGAATGGATTTGTTTGATTCACGAACATACGAATTTCTCTTCTCAGCCAGCCTAACATTCTGCAGTATGCTTGCATTTTCAATACTTGTTTATAATTATGAGAGATTTAAAACAACCGAGACACATTAATAAAAAAAATGTACAAATAAAACGTGAATAAAGTTCAAATAAACGGTCGGCGGAATGAAGTGAAGAAACGAAAAAAGACTGTGAAGATTATAGCCACTTTGAATTAATGAATTTAATATGTTTACGTTGAGCTTATAAGCTGATAATGAGAGTGATACCTCTTTGAATTCAATTGAATATCAATACTTAATATTGCATACTTTTGGGCTCATAAGCTTACATGGATATTGTTACTGGTACAGATTCTCTTGTGATTATGCGATTCAATTAACTCAAATCTTTTCCAATAGTCTTTTGGAATTACTTTCCCTAAACAACTGCAATGAATTTAAAGAAATTGTAAATAGGTTTACGTACGCATTGAACCTGACTTGCTTTAGAAGGATGATAGATGACGTCGAGATATCTTTTGAAATATTTGGCGTATCATCTGTATGGTTCTCTGCTCACAGTGTTGCCCAGAAATATGCAATACTTTTATCAAGCAGAGTATCATTATTTGCTGCTGCTCAGCATATGACTGAGAGCTGAGTAATGCTGAACTCGTACGGCTAACGCATACGAAACGGATGCACGATACATATTCCCCTTTCGCTTCGTATGTGCTGCCGTTGTCGCTATTGCCGCTGCTGTTTCACTTACGCGTAAAATACAACGGCATCAACGGTAACACACTATACCAGCGAACATACGAAGTGAAGGAGAATATATGAGAGACTGAGAGCAAAAACAGTACGTCGCATCTCATCTCTTGCTTTCACTTTCGTATGTTCGCTGGTACCGTTGATGCCGTTGTACTTTACGCGTAAGTGAAACAGCAGCGGCAATAGCGTCAACGGCAGCACATACGAAGCGAAATGGGAATATGTATCGTGCATTCATTTCGTATGCGTTAGCCGTACGAGTTCAGCATTACTCAGTTCTCAGTCATATGCTGAGCAGCAGCAAATAATGATACTCTGTTATCAAGTGAAAAAACATAAAATTTTACAAAAAATAAAAAAAAACGTTTTGTTTATTTGTTATAAGCTGAAGCTATATATCTCACACTGTTGGTACGTTTATCGAAAAATCATGTACTAACCGCAACCATTTTATTTTTTTCTGAATCAATAGATCTCTTAAATTTTTCATAATTATAGGCAAAAATTGCAAATACAAACATGCTGCAAAACATTAAACCGGAGAAAAAGAACAATTCATAGACACGTGATTCAAAGAATTCCATTCCGGCTATAAAAATAAGAATTGTATTACCAAGAGCCACTTCTAAACACCAAATGGATAAGACAACCGATTTCATGCTTTCGGGAGCTTGTTCGTATGAAAACGCTGGGCCAGTTACCCCAGTCATGGTATCAGACAGTGACAAAAACACATATTGTGGTATTTGCCACAACATATTTACGGAATTTAGCGGCATCGATTCAATTCGGTATTGGACATATGCAGAGAGCAAAAATGCGATTCCCGCCAAAATACCACCAATCTTCATTTTTTGTAATGGTCGCCGTATGCCAATTTTGCTAAACAATGGATAAATGACGAACTCACACAATGGGATGAATGTAAGCGTAAATATTGATTCAATCATTTGCATTTGATCCGGTTTTAGAGTATAAAATCCAAGGTCACCGTTCATTTTATTCGCTTGAAAGGTCCAACGGGATCCAGTTTGAAAAATTAATGCCCAGAAAATGGGCAGAGGTAAGTAAAGCACCAAAATTTTTAACATAATCCGAGTGTCAACCACCAGTTGTGCGCCATACTTTTCAATCGAATAATCCAGCAGATTTTTGCGTGGCTTAGTTTTTCCATTGAGTCGTTTGGTGATTATTGCATTCTATAAAAGAGATTAATTATTTCGCAACTTCAACTAGAATTCATGATCATTCAAATACTTACCCATATGCATTCCAACATTTTTAGCAACATATTCTCGGAAGACGTTTGAACATAAGTGTAAGATGATTTACCAATTATGACGAGCACTGAAAAAATACAAAGGAACATCGAAGAAGGAAGTTTCTTCTGTAAATTGAATTAAAATCTTACCTATAGATGTAATCATAAGCAATGCAGGAACTCCAAATGCCAGCGAATAGCAATCATTTTCACCGAAACAATGTATGTCTGCTCTTAACATGGGTGTAATAGATGTGGAAATGAATGAGCCAGCATGAAACGCAAAGAAAAACATGGAAAAATATCTGACCATTTGTGCACTTTGTTCCGGTAATTCAAATTGATCTCCTCCAAAAGGTGCAACACATGCTTTTATACCGCCACTGCCGATTGTGATTGAAGTCAATCCGATGTAAAGTGCAATCTTAGGTGAAATTGAAATGGCTGGGATTGCTCCAAGTGCAACGATCGTGCTTCCGATAACGTATAAAATTGAAAAATACAAAATTGTTTTGAATTTTCCCAACCAAACGTCAGATATGACGGCTCCAAAGATAGATGTGAAATACACCAACATCACAAAAGCATGAAACAGTACCGTGGCATCATTTTCAGTGAAACCGAGTTTGAATCGCAAATAAAATGCCAAAATTGCTAGAAAAAATTGAATTTTTCATGAAAATTAGACCTTTATGCTATTAGATTCTTTGGTTTACCCCTAAATCCATTGAAATTGAACCGTTCACAAAACTCATTTCCAATAATGAGGAATACACGTTTTGGATACGGTAACTTTTGTGGTTCTGCCTTTTCGATATTTAACAGAGCGCTCGAAACATTATCTTTGTTATTTTCGTCTGAAATGATTCCGAAGATAATAAATGTAGTTCGTTTATGATATTCCAACCGGCTAAGCCTATGAAGAGACAGAATGCGTAATCCCCTCATTCATGCCATCTTGTTTTCCATAGTTGAACTCAATTTGTTGCACTGCATTGAATCGAAAAAGAGAAAAAACAACAACAACAATAACATGGCTACATAGATCTGTTGTTCAGTGAGATACGTATAACAATGGAATGAAAGACTGAAGAGAGCGTTAATGTGTATGTATGCATCAGCACAGATGTACAGCTCTGTGTGGCCATACTATTGTTGTTGTTTTTTCTCCTCTTTTTCGTTTCAATACGACTGATCTAAATCAAGTTAACTGACATAAATAGAGATGGCGCGGGTAAAAAGTTCCCGTAAAAATATTTCTCCAATCTCATACAAATATAGACCGGTTGTGATATTCATATTCTAGTACAAACGAGTATCTGACTTGAAAAAAAAAACACATTGATATCACGTGAAATATTTCGCAGATGTTTCCCAATCTTTATGGTACAGAATTTGCTTTTGCTCGTTTTGGTATTAAAAAAACCCGGTAATATGATGGAAGTATCTTGGGGCCGTGTCTTTTTATTATTTTTATTAATGACATTGTCGAAAATGGTCATTAAGATTTGTTTGCCAAAGAGATGAGAATTTTGTATTGCCACCGTATCAGTTTAAATGTGATGTTTTAAGTATTCAACCGCTTTGGAGACGGCGTATCTCTTATTGGGTAAAATAGTGTCACGTTCGCTTAGAGATAAGATAGTATACACTGCCAGTTTTTGGCCGTAGAGCTTAATGTGAAACGTGGAACCGTACTACTAAGAAAAACAAACTACTCGACATTCATATTTTGAATTTTTCGCCACAATTTTTTTAAAATAAATTTCCCCTTGAAAATTGACTTTGCAAATATTTTCACTAATTTGCAGTGAATAGAATGACGCTAGTGATATATCATGATACTATTGATAGTACGATATGAATATCGTGCTATTGGTACATTTCAATTTTGTGACAACAACAATTATTTCTCTTCAATATATTCCTTCAAATATAGAGCTCTATTTTGATATTTTAGATTCTACATTTGCGGCAAAATATTGAAGAGCCAAATTGTTGTTGTCACAAAATTAAAATGTACCAATAGCACGCTATTCATATCGAACTATCATAGCGGTGGTCTATTATAGGAATTCCCATATAAATTTTGTTACCGAAAACACTGACGCGCTCCCTGATTGCATCAAATCGAACTAATCTGTCCCAAATGTGTTGTTTTGCATCTAACAGATGGCGCTCGCATATTTACAATAACAAAAATTTACTTAAAAAGTTTGAAAAGTACAGAAAAATAATTTAAAAAAGTAACAATAAATAAATTTTAAAACTTTTTTTAATGGAAATTAGTTTTTTTTGTAATTTTGTGAAATTCATTGTTTTCAATATTGAAAAATATTAATTTAGAAAAATAAAATGGTTAACATAGCCTCACTTTTGTGTCACAATGATAACAAGTTGATTGCTAAAAAAATCTACAAAGCACCAGAAAATATTTACAAAATAAATGTAAATATATTTTTAAATGTTAATTTAAGTGAACATTAATATAATTTTCATTTTTGTGGGATTGGAATTCAAAATATTCGAAAATATTAAATTAATTTTTCTCATAATTTTTCATATTTCGGCCAAACGGCCAGCGTAAAATGCCATCAAACCTGCCGGAAACTCCATAATTTATATACCATTCGTAAGGTTATTTTATAAGGAATCTAAAACAATTTGGTGCCTCGGGTGTCTCCAACTTTTTTTCAACAAGTTTCATCTAGATCCAAAGTAATCAAATTAACACTGAAGTAAAACTCATTTATTCCATCGTTTATCCACCCAATAAAGTTGCGGAGAAACGTAATTCCACCCGAATCCATTCGTTATCCACTCAATAAATGGTGAGTGGAATCGAAATATTTTTCAAAGTGGAATCCAAAAAAGAGGGTCCATGAATGAAAAAATTAAATGGGGAGCACTTATGGGGAAAATAAAAAATACGTCTGGAGGGTTTTTTATGCCCTATCGAATGCCGAAAACCCGAACTCTCTATCTTTTCTGGTTTTCTCTAAAATCACTGAACAAACATATATATATATATTAGACTGGCCCCCAAAACACAAAAGTTGAAATTTTTTCGCTCTTACCTCGGAATACTTTTCCATATGGTGTGCAAATAGCGTGTGTAAAGTTTCATGCCGATAGCTCAACGCTAGATGCGTACCGAAATTATGCCCAAACTGTGACATTGCTAGCGCCACGGCGGAATTCAATGTAATCTACACTAAGTTGCCGCCAAATAGTGAAAAGACTTTTGCTCAGTTGCAACCAACGGACTAGAGCTCCATAGTTGTCCGTAGTGGCGCTAGCAGTTCTACAGTTTTGCATTTTATACAGTCTCTTATGGAGCATAATTTCTGTATGGCTAGATGGTGCCGCAAGAGCTCGGTAGATCATTATGTGAATTTATTGAAAAATGACGTTTGCAGTTAAAATAAAAATATCTTCGCACAACCATATCGACGAAGAAATGATGGTAATCGTCATTTTCAATCGAACACTTGCCACTGGTGAAGTTTCGAAGAATAAAACACACTTCCACGCAAAATTTTCAATTTGACCAAAAATGAAGGTTTTGTACCAAAGGTACGACAAACCTACACAAATTAATCTCCTTTGAAGTTAGAATACTTTCAGAGCAAAATTAATGTGATTCCACTTTCGTATACACCAATTTGAACGCATCGTATAGCGGGAACACTGTCTTTTGCATAGCTAATTGTGAGCAATGAACGTGGGGCCAAAATATGAATATGAAACATGATTTATCCGAACTATAATTCACTTCTAAACCTATTTCAATGACTGAATTCGATCAATTTTGACTGTATAAACAATATCAATGCTGTTGGAAAGCGTTCTGGCCTGATTTGCGCATTGTTATACTGGCCGAGGTGAATGTATGTTTTCAACTCGCAATATAAAATGGATCATTTTATGAAGAACCAAAAGTGACATTCAATTGGTTTTAAATCCTAAATTTTATACTGACATCGATAGAATATCATGAAATATAATGAAATATCACATCTAGAGCCGTTCAATTGTTATCAAGTTATCAAAATTTTTCGATTAGGTGATAAATACCTTTTAAAGCAGTTTTCTTTAAAAAAAAGTGTACACTAAAAAATCAAACATTTTACATATAGATATGAATTAAATGGCTCTGAATATGATATTTCATGATATTCTATCGATTTTAGCATGAAATATATGATTTAAAACCAATTGAATGTCACTTTTGGTTCTTCATAAAATGATCCGTTTTATATTGCGAGTTGAAAACATACATTCACCTCGGACAGTATAGCAATGCGCAAATCAGGCCAGAGAGCTTTCCAACAGCATTGATATTGTTTATACAGTCAAAATTGATCGAATTCAGTCATTGAAATAGGTTAAGAAGTGAATTATAGTTCGGATAAATCATGATTCATATTTTGGCCCCACGTTCATTGCTCACAATTTGTTATGCATATGACAGTTTTCCAGCTATCAAATGAATGTATACCAAAATGGAATCACATTATTTCTGCGCTGAAAGTATTCTAACTTCAAATGAGATTAATTTGTGGAGGTTTGTCGTACCTTTGGTACAAAATCTTCATTTTGGGTCAAAAAAATGAAAATTTTGCATATGAATGTGTTTTATTTTCATCCAAATCGTTTGAAACCTCACCAGTGGCAGGTGTTTGATGAAAAATGACGATTACCATCAATTTTTAGTCGATATGATTGTGCGAAGATATTTTTATTTTAACTGAAAACGTCATTTTTCAATGAATTCACATAATGACCTACCGAGCTCTTGCGGCACCATCTAGCGTTGAGCTATCGGCATGAAACTTTACACACGTTATTTGCACACCATATGAAAAAGTATTCCGAGGTGAGAGCGAAAAAATTTCAACTTTTGTGTTTTGTGGGCCAGTCTAATGCACAAAAAACAATCGCTGAAGCAAATATTAAGAAAGATCTTGGATTCATAAAAGCAAATTTTGGATGTTTGTCGATTGCGGTAACGAAAGTACAAGAAAAAGGCGGTTTACTTGCTGATACGATTAATACATTTGATTCAATTCGTCCAAAATTACAATCGATGTCAAAACGTCCAGAATTTTTGAAAAAATTTAATGCAGTTGCTGATAAAAACCCAGGCCTGGCCACTTTACGTGAGATCTTAAGCTTATTGGATGGTGAACAGCTAGGAGAGCCAAACGACTTTATTGACAGCATGAGTCCAACTGAATTAAGGTGCGTGTCATCAGCGCCACCCTGTAACTGTGCTGGCAGACCTATATATGTAAAAAATTGTTCTCGAATTGTGCTGGCAAAAAATACATATTTTCAGGGGGGTCTGACACGAAACCATCGAGCACAATTCGTCCAAAGTCGAAAAATCGCTGTTTTTCCAAAAATTTGTATGGGAGGTATGTCAGAACATGATTTTTTTCGGGTGATATATACATGAAAAAATTGTGCTCGAATTGTGCTGGCAGAAAATACATACTTTTATGGGGGTCTGACACGAAACCATGGCCTGGAAATGCCTATGTAATTTACATATAAACGAGTGAGACTCAAACATGTTCTTCTTTTTCCATCAAATTTACCAGTGGCGCCACCAATTTTACATATAAGCGCATACAAAATTTTCAATATGGCTGCGCCCATGAGAGAGAAAATTTCGTCTCATTCATTTCCGCCCCATGCACGAAACCATCGAGCACAATTCGTCCAAAAAGTAGAAAAAAAAAATATTTTTTGAAAATCTCAATTTATTTATTTGAATGAGAGATTTATGACAAAAGAGTTTCTTATTTATGTAAAAAAAAAGTGAAATAACCTTATTTATATACTGAATGCA